TGGGTGTGGCAATTTTTTCCTTCTGAACATTTCTCTAAATTCCTTGGTTATAATAGCCAAAACTTTGTTTAGTAATTTTCTCAAATCTTGTCTCTACTATTTATTACTACTTTCCTTTTCAAAATGCCTATTTTCAAAACCATCAGTGCACAGGCATTAATGCCCTTTAATTGCATATCTCTAACAATTAAGTTACAAGGCTAAAACCCTGGAATTTTTCTCCAAAGTCCTTCAGAATATTCAATTATAGACACTTCTTTTTAGTGGCACCAAACTTCAATCTCATACAAAGTGGTTCATCATAATAAAAAACAAAATTCCTGGACACTTGGTATTTATTTATAGTCAGAAAGAGTTGCCTTGGGCAGTGAGGCTAAATTAATGTCCAGCTAATATGTTCCAGAGGCAGGATTAGAACCCACATCTTCCTGATTATATCTACTGTGCCATATTGTATTTATCCAAGTTACTTGACCTCTCTGGCTCTCAAGTTTCCTCACCTGAAAAATGAGAGGCCTGGACTCAATGATTTCCAAAGTTATTTCTGAATTTCTAAATTTATGATGCTTTGAATGGATACCAAGTATAACTAACGCTGTAAATCACTTGTAAACTCTGGTCTTTAATGTCTTCTATCTGGCACAGGGGTAAAATACTTCTAACTTCAGGTCACAGCCTCTTCATAGTAAAATTATACTCAGTAAAAATGGCAAAATGAATTCTTTCCTCATTGGGACCACTTGTTACTTAATGGATGGACTCCGTAGTGCCTCAAATTTTACAATGTTAGTTCTGGATATGAATTTACAGGAAGAGATTTGATTGAATTGACCCTTTAAAACAAAATCTGTGGTGGGAATTGATATAAACCTAGGCGACATTGAGAGACACCTACCAGAAATAACAAATCACCGTCCTGCTGCTCTCTGCCCTGGTCAGGTCACATCTAGAGTGTTTTGTTCTGGGCACTACATTTTATAAAGGGCACAGATACATCAGAAGTGGGGAGAGAGGGCAACTGCATGGTGAAAGAGCATTGAGTTTATACCATGGATCATTGGGTGAAGGAATTGGAGTGCTGAGCTAAAGATGACTCAGGGGGCACATGATTATCTTTTTTTTCATCTTGTGACAAATATACATAGTCATGCAAAAAAAAAATCCAACATTGGCCAGCTGTGAAAATGTAAGTCTCGTTCTGTATCTTTAGTCCATCATCTCTTTGTTAGGAGGTAGGAAGCATGCTTTATTATCTAGTCTTCTGGGATTGGAGTTGGTCATTGCCTTGGTCAAAGTTCTTAAGTGTATCAAAGTTGTTTTTCCTTATAATGTTATTATATAAATTGTTCTCCTGGTTCTACTCACTTCACTTTGTACCAGTTCATCCAAATCTCACCAGGTTTCTTTTAATAATATACCATTACATATGTGGAACATACATCATAATTTGTTTGGCCATTCCCCAGTTGATGGCCACTCTTAAGTTTCCAGTTCTTTGCCACTGCGAAAAGAGCTGAAGAAAGGAAAGGAAAAGGACCTGTAAGATTCACAAACACACACATGTATATGTATATATGATTCTTACAAGTCCTTTTCCTTTCTTTGATCTCTTTGGGGTAGTGATATTATATGGTGGGGGGGGAGAAAGGGAACAAGGATTTATTAAGCACCTACTTTGTGCCAAACTTTTACAAATATAATCTCATTTAATCTTTTGGGAAATAGTTTCAAATTGCTTTCCAGAATGGCTCCATCAATAATGGACCTGTTTTCCTACAGTCCTTCCAACAGTTGTCATTTCCTCTTTTTGTCTCTGCACAGAAGCTGAGGGTATGATATAGACCCTTTTCTAACAGCAGACTTCAGTCTTCCAGTCTGTCCATTAGAGACAAAGATCACAAAAGCCCCAAACATTTTGCATCTCTTAGAGGCCACAGGAGCCACTTTCCAGTGGGCTCCTTCTACAAGTCATATTCACAGCCCAATTCACTAGCGACGAACTGAAGCGGGCGCCAAGGCCCATTAGGGTGAGGTATCACAAAGAACACAGCTGGGCAACAGACTGTGTTGGAAAACGCAGCCCATGCAATGAGCCAACAGCAGCATAATTGAGAAACAGAAAATGGACCATTTATTACTGAGAGGGAAATTTGTTGCACACAAGGGAAGACCTTGTGGGTGGGAAGCCTGGGCCACAGGATATAGGAATCGGAAAGCCCAGGCTCCATGTGACCTCTCTCTTGGTTGGGACCTTGGAGAACTGGGAAGAAACTCTTCTGTCCAAAATCTAATTATGTAGTACCCACCCTAGAGGCAGCATAGGGGGGTAAAGCATAAGATAATAAATTATAGACAAGCTGCCAGTCTGCGGTAGGGAAAAGAGTATCCATACTGGGAATTCCCTATACCAATGAGGTCAAAAAGTGATGCCCCAAAAAGGAAACCAACAAGAACCTCACCTACCCTGAGACTGGCAAACTCAAATTTCTATTATTGTGTTGATGGTTTCATGGAAGAATTTGCTAAAAGGGAAATAAAACATCTGAGGAATTTAGGCTAGAGCCTTGGACACAAAACCAGGGCAAAAGCAAATTTGGTAATGGACATCTTATGAGACTACTTTCACATCAATTCCTGCTCTGTCAGAATACTCCATGACTGTGTCTATAGGGCAGTGGGAAGTGGCTTAGGTAAGACACCTAAAAAATCACAGCTTCTCTGAGACTCAGTTTCCTCATCTGTAAAATGATGGAGGTTGGGCAATAGAACCTCTAAGACCTCTTCCAACTTCAGATCTACCATCTTATGACATTCATGACCATTGAGTCTAGTCCTCTCATTTTATAGATAGGGAGCTGAGGCTCAGAAAAGTTACATGACTTGCCCAAGGTCATTATACAAATACGTTGCCTATGATGTCTCTATACTCTTTCTAGAAAGCTTAATGATATTCTTGGCTCCCTGTATTATTAGCTATACTTGGTCAACTCTTCTAGAGTGAGGCCAGATTTGTTGCTTGAATATATTACCAAGAGAAGTTGTTTAAATTTCTTTTTCTGGAGACTTTAAAGAAAATGTAAGATGGTTATCTTTCTGTATTTCTTTGACTGTAGTTCTGTTTGAAGGAGGGGACATAGAAGTAGAATATTTCTCTTCCTATAATGTAAATAATAACTGACATGTAGCTTTAAGGTTTGAAAGAACTTTACATGCATTTGCTTATTTGAATCTCATAACAATTCTGTGAGGTAGACAGTGCTGGTGCCATTATTTTATAGAAACAGAGATGAAATGATTTGTCTGAGTCACATAGTGTCAGAGGCAAGATTCAGACTCTTGGCTTCTTGGCTAAATTCAGAACTCTGTCTATCAGATCACAATTGTCTCTGATGGTTCCTCCCAGACCCATAGCTCTTGGACAAGATGAAGTTTCTTCTAACTTTGAGTCCTATGGATTTGCAGTGAGTAATGTCCATGGTCCTCATTTTGGATTTGGGGTTTGTACTTGGAGCTGGCCATTTGGATGCATCCATTGTTCGTATCAGTAGAGAATTTGGAAGCTATTTTGCTTCTGTTATGTCTGGTGTACCTTGAGGGTTATGGCTGAAGCAGCACATTAGCATATCTAGGAAGGGCCATGAAAATAAGGCTTTGGTATTTCTGTATGCCACGTAGTTTTTTTTTTGTCCTTTTCACATTTCCCTAAGCTACTTAACATTTATTGAACACAACAACTTTTTTATGCTCCAGGAATTTTTGCTCCAGGTTCCTGGAGCCCTCGGTTAAAGAAATGGGGCAGGACATTGTCCAACAGAGGAGTGACAGAGAACCAGGGACATTGACATAAAGCTATTTCTGGGGAGATGGAGAGTAGGTCTGGTGGGGAAGGAGTTTACTTCAATCCAGTCATATACTAGCTTTCTATTTTGGTGAATGTTTTGTATCAGCAGTGAGTGCTGATGGGAAAGGTAGTTTTTACCAGATGGAAGGAGAGTCTGAAGGATTATGGGAGGGGTAGTGAGGAACTTTGGAGCTCTGTGGACAGGAAAGGAGATTGCAGGTAGAGTGATAGACGCACAACAGTGATGGGAGCTGATAGCTAGAGAAGGGTGATGCTACATCAAATTAGATATGATTGTGAGCAACTGTAGCTTCACTCCCTGCTCTGCTTAAGGAGTGATCTGCTTGGACAGAATTTGCCATTTGCCTCACTGTCTCCCTTACTGGGTCTTGGTGAATTTATCCACTCCCCACTCCCACCTCATCACTGCCAGGCAAACAGGCATCACTTACCCTTCGGAACTTCCTGCTCTTTCTAAACCTTGTTTATTTGCTATCTGTACTTTCATAATGAGTTTTGTCTCCAGATAAAGATAAGCTGACTTTTATTGTGTTCTGAGTATTTGCTATGAAGGAAGAGTAAGAAGGAGAACCATAGAAGGGGAAGGAGAAAAGGTGAACATGTGAGACCGATTGCCCTAGACTTTAAAGAAAAAAAATTAGTAAGCTCTCATAATGCAAGTGTTCTTCCTAATTAGTCATTAAATTCTATTGTTTCTGTAGCTGAAGGATTGTAAGCACTATTAATGTCCTCTGAGTTCAGAAATCTCTAAATTTAGCACCATGGAGACAAGCCCCATTTTCCTTGCCTTAGTTACAGTTCTCTTGAATTTTCCAATTTTGAATTTTACCTTTGGAAAATTCAAAAGAACAGTTAGGTAGTGTGGTAGATGGGGCACTGGTCTGAGAACTAGGAAGACTCATCTTCCTGCATTCAAATCCAGCCTCAGACCCTTACTAGGTGTGTCACCCTGGGCAAGTCATTTAACTCTGCCTCAGTTTCCTCATCTGTAAAATGAGCTGGAGAAGGAAACGAAAAACCACTTCAGTATCTTTGCTAAGAAAACCCCAAATAGGGTCACAAAGAGTCGAACATGACTGAAATGACTGAATGATAACAACGAGGCTCAGACCTGATATCAATGTGTTTTCCTTTACAGAAACCAGTTCTGAAGAAACCCCAAGCTTTCCAATAAATTGTGATCGAACCAAAACGGAAGCTATACCAACGGAATCACAGTGAGCTTCTAGAATCACAAAATCTCTGAGCTGAAAGGGTCGTCGGACACCATCTGGTCCAACCCGTAGAAGGGACTAGAGGAGACCTGTCAGCAGAGTTTGGCTTGTGCAGCTCAGCTGAACATCTGGAGTAACAAAATCCTGGCTGGGGGGACTCAGGATCCCCAAAGCCTACTTCTCTGCCTCTGAGGTTTAGTCATTTGGGCTAAGCAGACATGTGGCCATCTGTAACAGTCATTTGTTTAACTATTTAATTTATACAGAGCAACCAAGAGCTTAGCTTGCTAGAATCTATTATCAGATAACGGTGCTGTTTAATTTTTTTTTTCATCAGAGAGTAAGTGTGTCTAGGGACAAACCCAGCCTTCCTTATTCTGAGGAGTTCTGGACCAGGGCGAATGTAAAAACAACCATGTTTTTCCTCCACTCTCTTCAGGGTCTTTGTAAAATAATAAATGCGAGGAATTTCTGCTGAGTCTTATTTTAGGCAGATCTCCAAGAAGGTTGAGTGAATTCAAGGATATTCCCTTTATACTTAAACCTCCACCATCATCACTAACTGTTACTGAGTGTCTACTGGGCGTTTGTGATAGGGGCGATAAATGGATAACTGGTCCTCACAGGCTAAGTAACCTGCTTTTATTGTTTTATCATTATTTATATGTAGCCCCTTGCCTTTGAGGGGCTCAGGGATCTAATTACACGGTCATAACCAATGACTTAAATACGCAATGAGGGCAATCATCTGTCATTAGGTGTGTGGTTATTCTAAACATATTCCTTAGATGTTCGTGTGTAGCAAGGGATAAAGTGTATAGGTTCACACCAAGCAAAAATATGGGGTCTTCAGTAACCCCACATAACTAACTATTGCTTCCACATAGGACTTTATGCTCTAGTACACCTGAAAGGGAAGACGAAGGAGGGGAAGGAAATAAGCATTTGTTAAGCTTTACAAATGTTCTCATTTGCTCCTCAAAGATCAAAGGTACATGCTGTTATTATATCTATGTTTTACAGCTAAGGAAACTGAGGCAAAAAGGTTAAGTAACTTACCCAGGGTCACAAAGCTAGTTAGAGTTTAAGGTCACATTTGAACTCACATCTTCCTGACTTTAGGCCCAGTCCTTTCTTGACTATGCCACCTGGATGCCTCCACCTGAAAATTTCTAATAAGTCATGGCTCTGAGGTTTTCCCCCTGATAATTTAATTCCCCCTCGATCCTTTAATTAAAGAGACAGCTTCATCTATTGGAAAGAGCTTTGGACTCTGAATTAAAAGGCTGGAATCCTGTTTCAGACCCTGGTTAGCTGTGTGACCATAGGTAACTCACTACCTTTCTAGGCCTCATTTTCCTCATGTTTAAAGTGAAGAGTTAGACCAGCTGACCTTATAGCCCTAACCAACCCCAAGGCCTCTCATCCCAGATCCTGGACCATGGACTTAGAACTGGCAGGGCTCTTAGAGATTATCTGGGGCACAGGTTTGGGTTGCAGGCCGCCCACAACATTCCTGGGTAGGACCTGAACCGGATTAAAATGTAGTTGGGAGATATTTAATAAAATAAATATAAATACAATAAAGCATAGATAATGTGAATATGTAGTTTTCTGAGTCAATATGTGCCTGCAGGGACATTATGCACAGTTTAGGTGCTTCTGTTCCTATTTGTTTGACACCATTAATCTAAGCCAAACCTCTAATTTTACAGACTTAACCTCTCTTGGCTTCCATGTTATCATCTATAAAATGAAGGGATTAGATTAGTGACATCTTGCAGTTCTAGATATATGACTCAATGATCAATATTATCTCTGCCATCCTCACAATAATATCCATCACAACAGGTCGACAAGGCAGGTGTGATCATTCCAGTCCTCTGACTCCAAATCTATCATCCTTCCCATGATACCAGGTGAACGCATTTTTCCTTCCACCTGTAAATCAGATGTTATCAGAAGGTCATTTGGACTTGATGAATGTGAAATTCTTAACATTTGCCAAGTAAAGGTAAAGAATGAAAGTTTTGAGCTTAAATTTGGAAGTCACATTGAATAGTGATACCTATAAATACCTTGATCTCCTTCAGGTAAGATACATAAAACATATAGATATAAATTAAAATTTTTTTTTTTTGGTTAGGCAGTGGAGTTAAGTGACTTGCCCAGGATCACACAGCTAGTAAGTGTTATGTGGCTGAGGCCAGATTTGAACTCAGATCCTCCTGAATCCAGGGCCGGTGCTCTATCCACTGTTCCACCTAGCTGCCCCAAAACATATAGATATAAAGGAAGAAAGCTGTGGTTGAATTGGTTAAGAGGCTTATTGGCATCCTGAAATCAAAGCTAAAGAGAAACAACACATTTAAAGCAATTGATACTTATACGATACTAGTCTAAATAAACACTTTCAGCCCTATAAAATGGACCGTAACAGATCAGCAAAGTACCCTAACAGAAACCTGCCCAATATTAATGAAACCCAGGGTCCTAACTGCACTATAGAAAGATGAACATTTTCTTTCTAAAAAGCAGAAAGAAGATTGAGATTCTCAGGGTATGTGATAAATAGGTGAAAAAAGCTCCATTATAGAAAGGCTTTGGGAACAAACACCACTACTCTGAGCAGTAGATAATAGGTGTACCACAGTTTTTAAAAATTAATGTATTTTTAGTTTTCAACATTCACTTCCATAAGATTTTGAGTTTTAAATTTTCCCCCCTCCCTCCTTGCCTTCTTCCCCAAGACCAGGTGCAATCTGATTTAGGTTCTAGATATACATTCTTGTTAAACATATTTTCATATTAGTCATGTTGTAAAGAAGAATTAGAAACAATAGGAGGGACCACAAGAAAGAAGAAACAAAACAAAACAGAAGAGGGAAAAAAAAAGAGCAAATAGTCTGCTTCGATCTGCATTCTGACTCCATAATTCTTTCTCTGGATGTGGATAGCATTTTCCACCATGAGACTTTTGGAGATGTTTTAGATACTTGCATTGCTGAGAAGAGCCAAGTCTATCAAAGTTAGTCATCACACAACACACCACTGGATTTTTTTTTAAAATGTAATTGAAAGGAACTTATCCTCGAAGGAAATCTATGAAATGGCTCGGATCTAAGAGTGGAATCAAATACCCTTCTAAGGGTGACATTTGCATGAATTCAGTCAATGACGCATTGAGAATGAACCAAATGGAGAACCCCTCAAAAAGCAGACTTTTTTTTGTGGAAATAGAAGGGTTTACAATGGCCATTCAAGACCAAGTCATTGCCATCAAAAACTACAGGAGGGCTATCCTTAAGGAGCCCAGACTTAATGATAAATGTAGATAAAACGACAAAATGGTGAAAGCTGAGGTAATACGTTAATTACTGCAGGATGTGAAAACCGAGTACCTAACAAATTTTTAGCTAGACATGACACCATAGGCAGAATTAGACATTAAAAGCTCTCTATCTTTTATGGACTGACCAGTGATGCCTCTTGTACCACAAGTACAGGCTTCAAAATATCCTAAAAGAATCAACCAGTAAACTGTATTGGAATCAGACCCTCATCACGGACCAAACCATTGCCCACAATGGTTTTCATGCCCACCAATGCCCTATATATAACATTGATCCACAAAAGCAAATTTTTAATAGATGTTGCCATATAAAACTAAGCTCCATGGAATCAGAGGCTTTCAAAGTCCAGAGATCTAGCAGAGAGTAAAAATTCTATGAGAGCAGGTTGGGGTGCTTGTCATTTCTACTGTTCTGCTTGCTATGGGAATGGTACCCAGGATGCCCTCAGGGAGCCTAGAGAAATTGAGCTCTTCTTCAACTACAAAAAGCAGTTATTTGATTCTCCTGGGCAATAGTCGATGGATCATTAAGTATGAAAAAGTGGTGTCAAGATGGTTATTTGTACTGGGACCATTTCTATAGAAAACTTGCTGGAAATAACTACTACTATTATTAATATTGTAAAGCGCTTAGCACAGTTCTTGGCACATAGCAGGCTCTATATAAATGGTAGCTATTATCACTACTGCTGCTAATAATAACTGTTATTATGGTGATAGCGAGCACTTATTTAATGCTTTACATAGCACCAAAGCAAATTACAACTCCTCTATGACCTACAGTCTTGGAGTTGCCTGAGTTTCAGTCACTTGCCCAAGGTCACAGAGCTAGAAAGTAGGTAGGATGGGAAACCAGGCCTCCTGCCTCCAGATTCAACACTCTTGCCATGGTATTCCATGCCTATCCATTTATTTATCAGCTTTTCCCAATTAACATAATTCTCCAAGGATCTATGATTCCTTCAGAGAAGAGAACCTCCAATCTTTAAGTCTAGGACTTAATGTGTAAGTTTCACCAAGTTGCCTGAAATAGCGAGTGGTTAAGTGGCTTAAGCAGAGTCACATAGTGGCAGGATCTGAATCCAAGTCATCCTTCCTCCAAGCCCAGTGTTCTATCTAGTACATCACGCTGTCATGTTGCTCTTGTTCAGTCTTTTCAGTCATGTTTGACTCTTCATAACCTTATTTGGGGTTTTCTTGGCAAAAATATGGAGTTGTTTGTCATTTCCTTCTCTAGTTCTTTTTATAGATGAGAAAACTGAGGCAAACAGGGTTAAGTGACTTGCCCAGGGTCACACAGCTGGTAAATGACTGAGGCCAGATTTGAACTCAGGACTTCCTGACTAAGTCCAGTGATCCATCCACTGTGCCATGCTGTTATGGGGATAGAAAAAAACCTAAACAACAACAACCAAAATCCATGAAGAAAGAAACAAAAATTTTTTTTTTAAGTAGTCTTATGCAAACTACAAACTCAACCATGTCCAGCTACTTACGAGGAAAGACTGTGCATATAAACTTGAACACAATCTCAATGCTGGAATCTTGTTTGCTCCTGGGGTCCCTTCTGTCTCTTTCCTCGGTGTATTTTTCAGGTGGGGCTGCTGTCATCAATATTTTTGTATAGTTGTAGCCAATCACTTCCCTTTCAACTAGAGGTAGAAAAGTTCTCTAAAAGCTGTTTCTACCTCCAAATCCCACTCCCTTCCACCTCCTCTTAGCCCCATATGAAGAGAAGAAACCGTACTTATTTACACATTTCATATTTCTTTTATACCTTCCAAGCCATTAAGTAATCCTCTCCCCTCTTTGGAGAAAAAATTGAAATGGAGAAGAACTCGAGTCTCTAAGCAAACTGGTGGCAAATCTAAGTGCTGTGGTATTACTGAGGTTAATCTGCTTGGTGCTCACCAGGTGCATGGGGTATTTGCGAGACATAGCCCTAAGCTGCCAGAGGAACCATGTAAAGTAAGATAGAAGCTTCCCCAGGAGTCCAGCCAGCCCAAGTTGGGAAAGATGCTGTATCTCAGACATCCTTGAAAATCACTCAGCTGTCCCTGTAATAAGCCAGATCAACTCTAGGCTGCTTATAGCTTCAACCCTTCACAGTCTTAAATTTTTTTTATATAAATAGCATTCTTAAATAATTTTATGAGAAAGAGAAAAACTACCTCCACAATTAGGATGTCAGATACCACATTGTGCTTGGAAATACCATGTCTAAAGTACAGGGCAGAG